AGAATAAGGTAAGCCAATTTTACTTAATATTTTTACTTTTAACTCTCTCTATGGATATCTTGTAGAAAATCCCATACAAATCCTTATAAATCGATATGCAAATTGTGTTTCTTGCGTGGTTCTTAAAGAGAGCTTGGGTTGCCTGTGCTCCCATAAGGATCTTCTCTTCTAATGCAGTAAGTTAGCACTGAATGTCTCTCGAATATTGTTTATTGCACCTTCAACAAAGATAGAACGTCTTTGATATTAAGGCAAACGTGATTTAATCAAGTTAGGTGCGCTGAAGTCCGTTACTTAGCAACAAATTTTGACAATTGCTTAAGCCCTGCCCCCAAGAACCTGCCACCTTATGCCGTGCCATGGCACACGAAAGACTAATTCATTTTATCCCTCAACTCTACAACTTCAGATGTGTAATCCATAATTCTTGACTGCATGTCGTATCATATTACATGCCTCGGTTATTCCGTGACCTTTGGAACAATTTTTTAAGTGCTCTCTTCCTTCCTGTAAAGCCTCCGATGACATGTGTTCATGGCAGAGATTTTCAACTATAACGGTACGTTTCAAATTAGGAGGACTTTATATTGAAAACAATATCTTCCGAAAAATACCATTCATATAATGGGAAAAACCAACTCAGACAGTTAGTTAAAATTAACCCAGCTGCGATCAATAATTTTTGGCTACTTATCATTTTGACCTGTTACATGTATATCTCGATAGCGTCAGTGCAGATTTTTCATCCGGCAAGTCAATTTATAGAGGATATTACACGGTGGCGAGAAGATATGAATTATGTTCTCGCGGCAAGAACAATATCTTACTCGAAAATAAAATTCATATCTTCGGGCTAACGTGTAAATTTCTTTTCTTCGTATGCATATATATATACAGTACATGGTACAGCTTTATAATACAGATACTGGGAACTAAACTTATCTCGTCGCAAATTTCGAGCTTTTCTTTTTGGTTTTCTAGTTGTCTTGTTGTTTGGAAAATGCAGTTAAACTTCGTTCCTTACCAATACAAATGACGTTCGAAACGGAAATAAAATTAAGTTCATTTAGCAAAGTTTGAAAAGGCGAGAATCTGACATCGTTGCTTAATATGACCACTTCCCAATAGACACGCACTGAAAAAGCAAGCCACTCGGTTCCCGGATGTGATGGTCGTGCTGATTCAAGGAGTGTTTCAGTTCCCGGTAAAACACTCCCATCCATACTATTAAAGCTTGATAAACCCGCATAACAGAAAGATTGCTCAGGAATAATGTTACGTATCTTAAATAACATAGATGAGATAACCGGGGGAAATAATGCAGAGTGGCAAACAAGGAGAGATTAAAAGAAATAAAGAGGGAAGGATTTCAATAAAAAAGAGGAAGTTGAGAGATGATAAAAAACTCAACCGACTGTTTCCGTTTTGTTCTGGTTGTTGACCTGCACTTGACTGTTAATTCCATGAACATAATATTTAGAAACAAATATTGATATTTACTTCATTAAAGAAATCAAACAAAATGATATTGGTGAATTTTCCATGGAATTAAATACGAAAAATGAGACTGATTTTCCACGGTTAAAAAAAAAAAAATTGATACCAACTGAGACCGTTTCAGTTTCTTATGACCCTTCGAGTGTCTAATGTCACTTCCGAATTGAGCAACTTGGTTATCATAGAAAAAATTGACCGCGTAAGATGTCTGAGAATTGTCACTTTCGCTAAATAAAGAAGAATATGACCTCATTTTTGGGGGGGAGTTGTTGTAGAAAATGAAATGAGAAAATTTTTTAATATTAGGTCATGTTTTATAATAAGATGCAATCCAAATATAACTCTTGGGAAATCGCTGAATTATTATTCGAATATTCCAACACCTAAACATGTTTCGTGTAAATTTCCTGTGCAGTGATTCAAAGCGCTTAACTCCGCTAGAGGAAGGTTAGCATCGTTGAGAAGATTGGTTGGAAAGCGCGACTGGAAAGAAGAAATATTCTGAAAGTAACTTCTGGATAATTCTTTTGGTTTTTATCGTTCCTAAAAAAGAAGAAAAACTTTTTGGCGTCTGTCAAGCTGTTAAAAATGGCGGCGTCGCGGAACATCGTCTGGAGGGATTACAAGTTTTCAGCTTTTTGCGTCATTTTCATCTGGACTTTCCTCTGTTCATCTCGTCCAGGTGTGTATATAAATGCTAACATTTATAACGTTGATCATAATAGTGTAGTGTCGTTGAAAAAATTGCGATATCATTTCAGCTTATTCTGACGATTTGACGTTCTTAGTTGTAGTCACGAACTCGCCCAGGGCAGTGCCTTTAATCAGTTAGGAAGAATTGTGTCAGACTAGAATTTTGTAGAAAACTTTTTCTCACTTTTTTTCAATTTACTCGGGTAAATTTAAGGAAGCGGGATGTATGACACAGGTGCTTACATATCTGGCAGCCTTCAATTGTAATAGCATCACCGACGAGTAATCGTAGAACTCGGTCCACATTTACCATGTGCACAGTGAAATTCATCAAGTGACCATTTAATACACGAAAAGTTTACCTCCAATTAAAGGCGAATGAAATCTCACTTAACTGGCAGATCAACTTGAAACGAAAAGGGAACATTTTCATTCAACTTAAAGTTTACGTGGCAGTGGAAATGATTACCGTTTTGTTAATTTTTTTTGTGGTCTGGAGTTCAACCTTTTGCCCCGGATTAAACATAACAAGCCTAATACAAGTTTACGTCCGTTGAAACAACTCAAATTAAGAGGAAATTTTATTAGTTTAAAGTTTTTGCACTTCTCCTCAAACACTACACTTTTGTCATTTTATTTCCTTCGTTTCTTGAGTGCATATCTTTATAATTACTCCTAATAGTAAAGTCAGTAAAACGTATGTATATCAGTTTGATATCCTTTGTCTGTGCAATTTCATTTGTTTTAACATTACTATATAATTAGATTAACATACTATGTTGTTGGCTTGTGATTCCCCACTGTTTGTAATGAGACAGTTATTCATCCTATGAAGTTTAGATGTGTTGTAAAATCCATGTACATAGGAATTTTTTTTTAATTAAATTGTATGATAGTATTTTGGGATTGGCTTCTGCGAGGAAATGGGTCTGAATTTGTCAAGATTGAAAATTCTACCCATGTGCAAAAGCTGTGCAATTTACATGTCTTTCTCTGTGAAGTATTTGTTATGTAAATATGAACTGAAGTTATGCATAGTGTGATTGTGTCAAAGGAGGCCAGAAGTGCTACTTGAGAAACATGTATCTAGGTTTTCTGTTAGCAGCAAATGTTCTGTATTAAACAACTGGTATCAGTTAGGTAGAGTCTACCACCCCGACATCATGATTGTCATGCCAAATCCCTGAGGCTACTTAATCCCCTCATCTTCAAATGTTATTCTTCCACCTCTGATCTATTTTGCTTGAGAGAGTGCACCAAAACAAAAATATGACCTAGATAGACATTGTCTTGTCGATTCAGGAAAGAGTACTGAGTGCATGCGGCTGAAGATGGATTATTTTGAACATATTCTTTGTGTCTGGGTATAAATAAATTTCCTTCAACAGCCTCTTAAGGTCAATTTCCCCCAAAACAGTTTTGTTTGTCAATCATCCATGAGAATGGCTACAATTGGGAATTTAATCAAATTCACAGTGTTATCCCATCTTTCAACCTCTCCCTCAGTGCATTATACTCTATCACTGTTTCCATTTTTTTTTTTTTGAACGTGGAAGACAAGTCCAGCATTGTCAATCCGACCATCGTTAAAAATCTCCATTCATATTTTCTGGCAAAATTTACCAATGTCACAGAACCATTGTGTTGTAATGACTCAGTACTACTCTGCTTTTCAGCTACAAAGAAATGAATTAATTTCATCCATGTGACAGTAAAAGTACACCCAGTAGTATTCTAGAGTGGACTGGTTTTTTTGGTGAGACTTAACTGTACCTATAAGAAATCTTAATTTCTGAAACTGATTTGATCCTGTCATCACATGACTATATATTCTTTGTGTCATTATGGACTCTTTCCCAAAGCTGTACAATTTTGTGCTTAATGGATAGCAGATGGTATTTATTTAGTGACTTCTTATTAATAAAAAATCATTAAATAAAAGATAAAATGCTAGTTTGAATATGAAGTACAAAAACAACTTTGGTTTAAGTCACCTTTACCACAACCAAAACAAGGCGAATGTTTTGTCCACATTAACCTTCTAGATTTTTTTAGATTTTTTTGTAAACAGATGTATTAATAATAATTTGACATCATACTGACTTCTTTGTTTTCCTTATGATTCACATTGGAGGCCAAGAAAAATTCTGATTGCAGAAGAAGTATGTGTTGCTTTCATGACCTGTGCATTTTCACCTGTCTATATTACAAATGTTGTATTTACAAGACTCCAACATTGAGCCTATCTTTAAAAGTTTCCCTTAAGTATCATTTTTTTTAATGATGTTAATGGTCTATTTATTTATTTTTTTATTTATTTATTTAACAATTTGCCAAAGGCAGGTAAATTTACAATAGGACAAGGTTGTCCCCTATGAGGTAAATTACCTTTCCCTATCTCCTACAAACAGACAAAATGCTAAGAAATAACAAAGTATGTAACACATGGGAAAAAAGAGGAAAAAAAAATAACAAAACAAAACAAAAAAAACTAGTTGATTACATGTACAGTAATTAAAGGCATTGAACGAGGACATTTTACACAAACTATTTGAACAGAGTGGAGGTCATCTTGATTGAAAACTTTGCTAAGTTGTAGGTAAAAGAAAGATTTTAGTTTTTTGATGAAAGACAGTAGTTCCTTTTCAGCTCTTATATTATCAGGTAAGGCATTCCATATGTTACAGATTAGGATGTTACAGTCTAGGATGGGTTTATTCATTTTAAACCCTTTAAACCCCAACATCAGTATGCATATTCTCCATACTGTTCATGTTACATTTCCCTAGGTACTTATTTGTTTAACAATCAAGAGCCTCTTGAGTTTGGGACAATTTTTTTTTTCTCTTGACCTTAATGTTTGCTTCAGGGGTAAAACTGTCAGGAGTAATTCTAGACGCTTATCTTTCTGAGTGATTTGTGTGTAAAGGTGGATGGGACCAAAGCTTCATCTACATTCAGGGTTCTCCCTAAATTTTGGAGTAGGAGGAGAATAAAATGGAGTAGCCGGCAGAGGAATTTATATCGGTGTGCAAGTGCCTTCCATGCTCCTCTAGTGCGAGGGGGGGGGGGCAGGGAAGGATATGGGAGGAGGGAAAAGCTAGGAGAAGTGGATTTTGATGAATTTTGAGAGATGGTTGTGCCACTGATTATAGAACTTTTATTAAACCACATATACATTTATGAGTAATACTGCAAAAACAGCTAGTTTGAAAATAGTGCACATTAAGCAGACCTTAAAATGTCTCGTCTTCAAAGTCAAACTCGAAGTTTGCATCTGCATTACATAATTACCTGGAAAACATCCTTTTTCTTTTTGGTTTTTGGCACTGCTAGCTGCCACATCTCAGCCAGCCCACGTGGCTGCTTTTCTGCCATTTTGCACGTGTGCATACAGAGTATGTTGTCTTGTATATGTAAGTTGCTTTTCGTCGGTAACCGCTGCCTCGCATTCTGAGCCTGTTTTGTTTGCTAAGCGTTCAAACATTTAAGTGATGTCTGCAAACAGATTCAAGCAATGGTGTGGCAAAATTATCGACGAAACTTTCAAGTTTATTCAGTCAAAAACATTTGTGGACACTTGGCTCTTTAAGGAAATCTTTATTTATTTCGGAATATGTTTACCCAAGGGGAAGTAGGCGTCGCAAATGGAAAAGTTGTGGTTGGATGCAAAACAAAGTATTTATTTATTTTTATTATTTGGATCTGAGTAGCCTGCACGCCCAAGACAACTAGCCGGCAATCTTTGCCGGTCTCTGGGGCTTACAGAGATCTCTGTACATTTGCTCATGAGCGTTTCTTTGTTGTAGGTGTTGATGCCTTAAAATTTCTCAATCCTTCATCTCAAATTTTAAGTGGATTCCTGGGTATGAACATTGACATCAACTGTTCAACTGATGACACAAATGCAACAGTTCAGCTTCTCCACTCACAATCCTTTGGACCATTTACTGAAAGGACTTTGTCTCCTGAGAAACTTCACAAGAACAAGCAGGTTTTTACACTGTTGAACCTTAGTGTAAAGGATGCTGGACAATATAGGTGTAAAGCAACGGATGGACAACAAACCATTGAATGGGCAAATAGTGGATATCTCTTTCTTACTCCGGGTAGGTGGAACTCAAGTACATGTACAATGTAGCTCACATAATGTATTATGGAGCAAATCTAAAACTTTCAGTAGATACCTTAAGTACAATGTTCTTTTGTGTTTTATTCATATTACCTTTTCAAGGCCAGCAATGACCATAAAGGTGTCAAGAGGAGATAAAATATCTAAGGGATTTTTCGCGTTGATTTACTGGTAGTACCAAATCATCAGAGCTGATATTGTAAGAAATGTTTGGCAGACAGAGCAGAGAATTGATGGTAGATGTTTGGGGTGTAAGGGTTAATTTTACTGGGAGATTTCATAAAACTTTTGAAGTTCCTTTAATTTGTTCCATGTTGTGCAATATACCAGAAGTATCACTGAATAGAAGTACTTTACTTAAATGGATTCTTTTATAAACAAAATGTTTAGCCAGAAATGTCTCTAAGGTGTACAGGTTTGAAGATATTTGTGAGCATATTATTTAAAGTGTTGTGTTACCTTACAGGAATTTTGCCAGATATTATCCTTGACCCATCGAAACCAATCATTATACTGCAGGGGAAAACTGGAAAAATCACATGTCAAGCTGTTGATTGGTCCGTAAGCAAACTGTCTTGGAAGAAGACAAATGATTCTGGTGACCAACCTGTTCCAGACAGCAAAGTTGAAGATGTTATAGACAAGACTAATAATATTGTAAAGGCAATCCTTACCATCACAAATGCTCAACCTCAAGATAGTGGTGAATATAAATGTGTACTGACAGCTTTCAGCAAACAGAATTATAAGCTTACAAATATACGCGTGGATGGTAAGTTGTGAACTACTTTTACAATGCAGCGTTAGCATTCTTTTCATTGCAAGCTGCTAAATCTGTAGTTGTGAAGCCATTGCTATCAAATTGAGTACACAGAACCTGATTCTACTTACCCGATATGTCATCAAAATTGTAAGTTTTGGCGGTTAATTTTTTCTACTGTACATGTAGCTTGCTGAATTTTTGGTGGAGGTCAGCACTGAGCTGAAAGGACTATTGTATTGAGTTTTGGGGCAAAATACGGTACATTCACAGGGTGTTGCTCCACTCAAGTATGAACAGTAAACAGCCCTTATCAAAGAGAAGTACCATAACTGCTAGATTTTTGAGTTAGGAAACTCATCTTAGAGAAGCTCTGATGCTAACAATTACCGCCCAATATCGGTGATTCCAATAATGGCGAAGGTGTTTGAAAGGATAGTTTATGAACAGTTATATGCCTATTTGGAAGAGCACGATATTTTATGTCAAAACCAATCAGGGTTTCGTGCTAATCATTCAACTGTAACAGCTTTGTTGGAAGCGACAGATTCTTGGGCATATAATATTGATAACGAGAAAATCAATGGAGTCATTTTTCTAGATTTGAAAAAAGCTTTTGACACTGTTGATCATCAGATCCTTCTATCGAAACTAAACTATTATGGTATACATGGAAAATCTTTCAGATGGTTTCAGTCATATTTGGAAAACCGAACACAAAAATGCTCTGTCAACGGGTCGCTATCCAGTAGCTACTCGTTGACTTGCGGCGTCCCTCAAGGGACCAT